AGCATGCAGCCATCATCATCATGACATATGCAGCATGCAGCCATCATTCTCATTAGAGAGATGCAGCAGTCAGTGTCCTCAAGGCAAGGCTGCTGCTTCTTCTGGTCTCTTTAATCACTCAAGCTTGTGACTGTTTGCTACTATTTCTAGACTATTTCTCTACATTTTCTGTAATCACTCAACATCATTCTCCAAGTTTCCTCAATGCCGGACACTGCATTTCTGAAATTGAAAACCACTCTTTTTTGTCAGTCATTTTGTGGCTTGGTGTTTGTTTGTTTGTTTGTTTGTTTATGAGAGCATAGGCTGATCTCCAGGCAGTCCTTCTTCAGCTTTCCTAGCGCTGGGATTAGAGTATCAGCTGGCTTTCTCTTGGTGCACAAACATCAGTTGATCTTTGTGGCTTTAATGGATATTCAAATAAGCGTGTATATTCAAGTGCTATTGTATTCATATTATAAACATTTCATAGAAACAAATTTCTAATTTACAGATGTAACAAATCATATGTGCTAAAAAAAATCAGATCAGTTTTCCAAATGGATGTTGAAGAAAGCCTTTGCAAACATTTGCATATAATATTAAGCTTATTAAAGTTGATCTAAAATATATTCTGATAAACCAAATTTGCTTAGAATTACTTATAAAGATGGATTATGTTTATGATTTTGCTTTATATTGCTTACTACTTTCTCTATTAAATTATATTTTATTAGTTTAAATAATCACAATAATCCATAATAAAAAATGCTGAGACAAGAAGCAAAATACTTAATATTTAGAATTCTTTTGTTCTCTCATCTATGCAAGACCTTTTGAATTCTGACTTTCTTTAGAAAGCAAATGTGTTTTTCATCCTCAGTAACATAGACTAAAGACTACAGTTTCAGGTCAGCTTCTTCTCTCATTATGCCTATAAACAAACTTTTAAAAGATATTTCACTAACTGATTCATACACTACTGTTTCATTGATTGACAATTTAGGAAAATAGACTTCAAGTTCTGTAAGCTATAAGCAAACCCTCTCTGATAAGGAAGTTTTTAAAGACCATATTACTATATCCCATAAGATGTGATTACTCAGAAGCATTATTCTTTTTGTAAATACAGGAAAAGTCTTGCCTAGATCCCATAACAGAAGCTCTTAGGACAGTTAAATTTAACAAGATTTATTTGTACAAGAGAAAGTTCTAGGGCCAGGTAACATTACAGACCAAAGATGGTTCCAAATGTCCTGCTCCACTAAGTGTACAGACATAGGAAAGGGTGTGACGTTCAGAAACCCTGAACAAAGCAGTTGGCATTTTTCTTACATGGCCATGATTTGAAAGCTTTCCCCTTCTGATTGGTTGGAAGTCTATCTGCTGTGATTAGCTGAGGCTCAGTTGCTCAGTTATGAGTCTGTCTACTTCTAGAGTAGCAGCAAGCTGGGCTGCAGCTCACTATGTAAGCAGGCCATTCTAGACCAACTGTATCACCAAAGTTTGGAGACCAAATTAGGTCAAACCTGTTGCAACTTAACAGAGGAAACATTTCAGATTTTTCTCAAACTTAATTTATCTGTTGAAGAATTGAAGCAAGGCAAAAAAAAAAATA